ACATGCGAAACTCAAGCTGCTAGCCAAGACGCCTTTTGAGGGCTTTAGGGTATAGATCTCTGATAGAACCAAACCCGCTAAGTGTGACCGCCAGCAGATGATGGTAATCAAACGAAAGCTTTTCCGAAGCAGGGGTCTAACCCAGGGAAGAAAGGTCTGGGGCGCAGATGACATGAGTGCAAACATACATCCGACGGACCGCGGTGATAAAGATGCTATGACGATGCCGTTCTTATCCCATGAAATACCCCGAAGTTCTATGGTCTTGATCTGAAACAGGTACTCCCAAAATCTTGAGAACATTGAGAGCTCCGATGGGCTACTCTCAAAATCGTGGGCTTTTTTTGATACCAAGTATAGTACGGGAACCAAACTGGACCCCAACTTCGGCAACTTCCCCCACACTGCTCCCCTCATTTGTTGAGGACATGGAGAACCCATGTAAACCCTAGACCCCAACCCATGTATCCCTATACATCCATATATCACCCCATGTGACCCCTTCAAACTTGAGTATATACGGTAAATTTTAGGGTTTCCCCAATATGGTACCTTAAATTAGCTTCCTTAACAGCAACCCAGTAAAGTGTAGTTTCCGTGTTCTTTTCCCCCAATCTGCTCCAACTAGGGCCCAAGATCCTGCTCGCCGATCTTCTGCAGCATTTTGCTGCCTGCAAACGACTTCCTGGGTAGCTTCGGACCATGTTTCGAATTGTTTAGCATTGAAAAAAGAAAGGGTGCAGGGCTTAGAGCTTAGCATCTCAGCTTGTGATTTAGAGCTTCAGATTCTAGGGCTAAGGCTCACGATTTAGGGTCCAGGATTCAGGGTTCAGAGCCGGCTTTCCAAAGGACCTGTCGACCACTGGCTGAAAGCACTCAGCCTCTGCCAGCTTCCGACAGAGGGTTCCCTTCAAAGGGATTATGGGGGTTATGTAGGGATACAAAGGGTTGTAGTTTCTTGTGCATGTTGAGGATGCGATGCCAGCACCCAATGTAGAGATCTCCATGCCTAAGCCTTTAACATCATGAAGGGTGGGTTTTTGGCCTTCTCCCCTAGCTCCTCGGCCAGGGTTTCGTGTTCACGGCTTAGCATCCTGAGCCCTGAACCCTAACTCCCAAACCCCAAGACGTACGTCCATGAAATGATCCAACTCCAAAAACCCTGAGGCCACAAACAATATACCCTGAACCCGCTAAACCCAAAACCCGACAGCCTTAACCTTGACCTCAAATTCTAAACATTATCCTTGCTAGCACTCTTATTGCTACTGGTATTACTACCATTAGAACGGTTAGTATTATTCCTATTCTTACTTTTATTTGCGTCATTCACTATGGCGAAGAATACGGTTACTACTAAAAGTTACTCCTGCTATTGCTATGACTGCCATTCTTGCTTTTACGATTAGTACTGATATTACTATTACTCGTACATTTACTAGTTTTCCTTGTTTTGCTTGTTTTGCTATTGCAACCCTAGAGCCTAAACCCTAAATTATTACACTCCTGGGAACTAACATGGAAACCCAAAAAAGGCCCTATAAAGACTACAGTCCCTCTAAAATGGGGCTATATGGGTTTCCATGTTAGTTTGGGGGAGTGTACTGTTATTACTATTATAAGCTGGCCCCAGCTTCCCTGGGCGATACAGCCAATCTCCGGGCCCCCCATCCGCCAGTTCCTAAGCACAAGTTGGCAACATGGGGATTATTATATATCGGGCTTTATAAGGATTTATTACTTTTTTAAAGGGGCTTCCCAAAATTAGGAGTTGTCTGTGCGGCTTTTGGACCGTCGCTGTTCTGATGAAATTTTGGGGTTTAGGGTTTGCGATTTTTCCGGCTTGGGGGCTCGGGCTTAGGATTGCTGGAACCCTCAGATCGTTTCACAAACCTTTTCATTTGAGAGGCATGTATGTCAGGGTTTGTAAAATGAAAGCTTCTCGATTTCTGGCTTAAGCATCAAAAGCTGCAACCGGTCAAGTGCTGAGGGCCTCCAGTAAAGGATTACAATAGTACCCCCAAAGGTACCCCCCAGATTTAGAACCTTATTAGGCCTTATTAAGCCCTATATAGTACTTATTAGCTCCTTAAACCCTGGGGGGGTACCTTTGAGGGGGGGGTTCTATTGTAATCCTTTATCCAGTGCTCTCCATCATCTCCCAAGTCAGTTCATGCTGCCTATAGCTCGCCACAAGGGGTGTGTCAAGATTAAAAGCACTTCTTTTCCAACGGCATGCGATATGCGAAGAATCTTCTAGAATGCGTAAGCTGGTTTATCGCTGACCAATGAGAGACAGGAATGCTAAGATATATAGTAGTTTTCATCTTCTTTTCCATTATCCCTGTATAACCCCAATATATCCCCTATATAACCCCTATGTTACCCCTATATAACCCATTATAGTAGACCCATGATTCTTCGTACCGAGAACTGGGGATGCTGTTAGACGAAGGTACCGCATACGCACCTGTTGATACTGCTGATTTGGAGTCATCCGAATGAACGTAGGCGAACATTAAACAATCTTAACCCTACAATTCGAGAATTCTGGAAAGGATCCTTCCAAAATCAATTTGCTGTTGTTGTATCCAAACCCTCAGCCCTCAAACTGTAAACCTTAGAATCCAAGGCTCCGAGGAACTCTCAGATGTTTCCGAACGCTTCCCGGCAGATCTGCCGGAGTCGGTACTAACCTGACATGGCGCACACCATGCTAATGTCCCTATATAACCCCAATATATCCCCTATATAAGCTGTTACCCCCATATAAGCCCTATGTTACCCCTATGTAACCCATTATAGTAGACCTATGATTCTTCAAATATTCCTGCTGTGGCTGCCGCCGATGTTACTAGAAAAAGCCAACAAGGAACTCCCAACAAAAGCAGGTCAGGAAGCTCTCCCCAAGGTACCGTTCGTTCTGGCTTGTTACAACAAGTCATGAAAGAACCACAACTCCTCCTTCAAATTATTCCACTGCTCTTGTTTTGCCTCTGGTTCTCCTACTGCTCCTTCCACTACCTCTACCTTTACTGCTACGACAACTGTCAATACTTTGGTGAGTACGATGGCAAATACTGCTCCTCCGCATCCCCTGATGACTACCACCAGAACATCTCTCGCGCATACGCACACGTCAACAATGTTGCGGCCCTGTAACTGTGCCATCCAAAGGCAGTTGCAATACCTGCAGATGGTTCTCAGACGGATCGCGCTGACCACGCCTGCGAACGAGAAACCTGGATCAAGTTGGCAGATCCACAATCAACGCGCTACATGTTACTTTCCCAACTGCTGAAAAAAAAACAAAACATCCTCCGATGATGACCTAAAGACTCGCGCACTTCTTGGCAGACGTTATCCACCAGCTGCTCCCGAAGCTTTCTGAATTCCTTGGTTTCCAAGATTTCCCAAGTTACTGGGATAGAAAACGTGACAAGTGGTGTGAGTCCTGTGCAGGGAACATGACGGATGGTGAAGGAACCCTACTGAATGTTAGAAACGCGTGCTGGCAAGACCAATCATGATAGGAAGAGCACCAGGAATGATGCCCCTGATAATAAATGGAACCACCACTGCAACAATCATCTATGATGACCATGATGATTACGAAAACGATGGTGATGTCTCCCGTGTGACTACTGTGCCTACTTCCAGCAGTACTAAGGCGACAGCACTGCTATGATAGTCATTATTCTACTGCAGCCGGCAAAACTGGACTACTCCAACGCTTGTCTCGTCTGATTGTCGCGAATACCACCCTACTATCTTCCTACTCACAACCATCGTCCGAGATCCCGCTTGCTACCATCTTTGCTAATGATGGTAGTGAGCGGGATCTCTGACAAGGGTCGTGATGGCGGTGGGCATTGCTATTGTTATAAATAGTTAGAACAGCAACAGTAGTAATAATAATAGCAATAATGATAACACTAAAAATTGTAATAATCGTTACTTTCTTGCCCGGGATTTGATGCGGACTTTGGGAACCTAGGTTCAATCGACTACTATTGCCTGTAAGCCCTTTTAGGTCCTGAGCTCAGGCAGTCGAGAAAGCATCCTGCGCAACCTCCTGACA